ACGCTGAAAACACATATCTTTAACACTAAAATCAAATATTGCTCAATCCTCGAAAAAAAGGTCTACAAAAATATGATGCACAAATAATATTTATCAAAATAAACATTATTATGCGCAACTTCTCAGAAACGAATCAGGCACTTTTTTTAACATAAACAAAATGAAAGAAACTGTTTTACCAACGCGTGATATGTTTTTTTACCATATTAGATAACATTTTTAAAAAGAAAATATTAAAAAAAGGTTGTTTCTCCATATGTTGTTATGCTCCCACTTCCCATGTGTAAAAACATCGCTAAAATTGGTTATTTTTCCGATCTAAACCCAACATTGATCCAATGTATAGGGATCAACATTGATCCAATGTATAGGGATCAACATTGATCCAATGTATAGGGATCAACATTGATCCAATGTATAGGGATCAATATTGATCCAATGTATAGGGATCAACATTGATGCAATGTATATAGATCAACGTTGATCAAATGTGTATAACCCCATATTGATCCAACGTATATGAATTAACGTTGATCCAATGTTTATAACCCAACGTTAATCCTATGTGTATGGATTAAAGTTAGATTATATATAGTGGATCAACGTTGCTCCTAATACATTGGAATAACGTTGGATTATATACAGTGGATCAACATTGTGTTTGCATCGAGAAAAATCAGATATACAAGTATATATTTGTATAAATTATGACAGGTATTTTTCTTCCAAGTATTTCAGTTGACTATGAAAATATATTTTGCTAATATATTTTTCTCTTTCTTATATAACATAATATCAAGCCACAAGCAAAACGAACATGAATAATGAATGGGTCTTTAATCAGATGCTGCGATATGAAATAATGTTAAAGTGGCTATCCATCACTTAAAATCTGAAAAAAAACTTTTTTTTTTTCTTTTTTTAAATACAACAATGAAAATAAAAGTCATAAGTTTGGCCTAATTTTGTTCTTTAAAAAGGGGTAACCATCCAAAAGTTTTTTAGCAACGGCCTTAGCGACAAATGGAACTTCTTTTCTCCAGAACTAATTGGCACTTTTTCTCCATATTTTTACTGTACCTTAACCAAGTTCTTACCTGCACTGTTAAGTTATTTCTGAGCTAAATGACATTGGTCAAAAGTGCTAAAAAGTACTAAAAAGACCATATTTGAATTTGAAGCTTTTTATTTTTGAATTTTTTTTTCCAATGTATTTAAAGATTTTCTCCCTTCTAACAAAGATATCTTTAGTTTTGTTCAATATTTTTCTTTGAAATTTTCTACAGAGATAAAACTTAGTTAGATGAATGTTCTGAGTAAAAAATATTTATACAATGGCATTCCATTCAAATTTGGGTAAATTGGGCCATTATTAGGGATTTATACTAAAGTGTAAATTTCAGAGCAATAAATAAAAATATCAACTTTAATTTTGACTCAGCACACAGTTCATATAATTAGCAAGGTTTTTGAAAAGTTTCACTTGATTTAGAATACTCTTGCAAATAGTTATCCTTGTTAGAAAAAATGCTGTTTTTGAGTAAATTATGCGCATAATTAATGACGTAATATTAAAAATATAAGCTTTTTGTATTTTTTTGTCTTATTTGATGCCAATGCAATTGAAATGTTTAAATATGGGGGAGGGGGGGCTAAGGGGATAGGGTTCTTTTAAAATTTTTTTTTTATTTAGTGGGTAGCCACCTTAATTCATCAAAATCAAAGGATCCAAAATCGAGAAAAAACGGAGTCGAGAGAAATCGAGAAAAAACTCCGTCGGAGTCGAGAAAAAATCGGAGTTTCGATAATATTTTGTTATAAAAATTAAACTATCTATTTGATAAAAAAATTAAAGTCTCTATTTGATAATTAAACATTGTTCTTGTATTTTTATTTTTTAATTTTAAATATTTCGATTTATAATTCATAATAAAATTTTAAAAAATTTATATTTTTATATTTCTTAGTACATAAATATTTTTTTTATCACAATTTTTTAACGAACAAGTTATATCTAATAATTGGCTTTCTAACCGGCATCGGTTAGGAAGAAGGCGTGAACTTTCAGTTAAATGCCCTTCTGCGTTGCTATGCAATAAAGACTTGTTGGGGCACCTATAGTAAAAATTAAAAAAAAAATTTGAAAAAAAAAGTATTTGGTTTTTTAGCTGCTGATTGATTTTGAATTAGAACTCCTTGAATTCCGGAGAAAAAAGATGCCGATTGTGACGGTTCTTCTTGTTTGTTTTTAACGTGATCATCTGATTTTGATTGGAGACTATTTTCTTTTGTTGCAAATAGTTGATCAAATAATTTTGAAGCATAAATTTGAATATCTTTTTTGGAAGCGTAAAAAAATGTGTGGTTTTTATTTTTAAAAAAATCGGGATTGTGCAAATAACGACTCAATGATACCAACATAACGTTTTTACGATCTTCATATCTGGAGATTAAGGTCTCTGCAAAATTAGAACTGATGTCAGTTTCTGCAACCTTCAATTTCCTTACTAACGTTTCTATAATAATGTCACACTCCAAAATTGTTGTATTTGGTTTTTCCAAGCGAACTGCAGCGTCAGCAACGACTTCCAATAAGTCAGACAGCGATTTTAAGAAATCCAAGTCAATTTCAGCTAACATTTTTAAGCAGTTTAGCTCTTCGAGTGTTTTTTTTACAGCTTCTAAGCAATCCAGAAATCTTTTAATCATCTTAAAAACACTGTTCCATCTTGTTCGGTTGTCGAACAACAGTCCTTTGTCATGCGAAGATCCGTATATTTCGTGTATTTTTCTTTTAAGAACTTCATATCGAAACGATGAATATTTCAAAAACTTAATTAGTATTCGAAGTTTCTGTAAATTTTTTTCGATATTTTCTTCATACTCAATCTCATTCTCCGAATATTCAATAAGAAACTCTCCTTCAGACTCTCCATCAGTTTCTGTTTCTGTTTCAATAATCGATTCAGTTTCTTTGTTCACAATTTTGCGACAATCTTTTTTAGCGTATATCAAATCACAAACACTCAAATGAATTGAATGATTCTGGCAGATCTGATGTGGAAACTTAAATATGGTACCCAATTTCACCATCCAACTACAGCCATCCGTAGTTTTACCTGCAATATCTTCACTATCTATACCAAATTCTTTTAATTTTTCCATTATCAAAATGTTTAATGTTTCAGCAGAACTAGGAGATGGCAATCTCATTATTCCTAAACAATACGTTCTGTCGTGATGAACATTTAAATTGTAGTATCTTCTACCTCTATTGCTACACCACTCGTCACCTGTTAGTCCAAATTTTTCTCCTTTTGCTTTCAATGCAGCCAATTCAGCGATCATTATGTATTTGGCTTCAGCATGAAACATCTTAATTTTTTCTGAAATTGCGGACGCTGACTTAGGCAAACTATGCCCGTAATTTTCAAAAAGCATTCTTAGTGTTTCAGATTGAGTTATGGACCTAATCGAATACCCATCAAGAGCTGTCAACTTGGCAAGAAGATCGTTTAATGACATTTTAGTCAAAACTGGTCTGGAATTGAATGGTTTCAAATCTTTTTTCTCGCAACTTTTGACGTGTCCAATAAGGCCGTTTGTGCTGCTTCCTGGACAAGCGATTCTTTTATGACATTTTTTGCAATCTCCATACTTCTTATCATTTACCACAACTTTATTAAAGTACTTCCACGCTTCCGAAACCATTTTTTTCTATGAAAGAAAAATTATCAATTTGATAATGACCTCCCATATTTGTTTTTAATTTTATTTTAATTGTGAAAAGTTATCACATTTTAAGTTATTAAGTTATTTATTCTGATAGGTAAGTATAATTAAACATTAACTATTATTATTATTTATTTTCACTGATAACATTTTATTGCACAATTTTGCCACAATGCTCAGTGGGCCGGATTTTAGACTTATGGTGGACAAAATTATTTTGATCATACAAAATACGACACTACTTGTATAAAATGAAAGTTTTATATGTTTTATATGTTAAAAACTTACCTCGTTATTTGTTTATATTATAAATAATGATCTTGACTAAACTTTTTTTTTGTAAAGGTAAACTATTGAGTAGTTAAAATATATAAACTAATATCACATTCGCATAATATTTTAAAAGTTACTGTTTATTATATCTTTGCTTAAAAATTAAAAAATTCTTGCTTTTTATTATGCATTACATTTTATTATACCGCAATTGATTTTTGTGGATTTAAAAAAATACTAATACTAAAAAGATACTAATATACACAAAAGAGTTTTTGAAATAGTACAATGGAAAAGTATGAGCATGTTTTAATATATGGTTTTGAATAGAATAAACTTTTTTTGAGGTTTTTTTCACCATCATCACCTTGGTTTCACCATCATCACCTTGCATTATCAATTGGTAATGCACAGTGGGCCAGGTGATGATGGTGAAAAAAACCTCAAAAAAAGTTTATTCTATTCAAAACCATATATTAAAACATGCTCATACTTTTCCATTGTACTATTTCAAAAACTCTTTTGTGTATATTAGTATCTTTTTGAGCAAACGAAGAGAACACTTACATTTGAAACAATTTTTAAAATTACAATTTACAATTGTAAAAACCACGTAGAAATAAAATAAGAATTCAATTATTTTACGAATAAAAAATTGGTATTTTCTAAAAACTTTGTCGAAGTTTCGTCGAAGTTTCTCGATTTGTCTCGAACTCCGAAACTCCGAAAAACCGAGAAAAATCCGTCGAGACGGAGTTCCGAATGGATCCACTGCATAATAAGTGTGTATAAAATATTTATTGTATAAATAATTATTATATTGATTTATTATGCATTTTATGCACTTTAAAAAAAATCCGAGGGGATTTTTCCGATATGCTCAATGCAGAAAATGCTACGTACCCTATTAACTCGAGCGGTTTGCGCGTACGTGTGTGCGCGCGTATGTGTGTTTGTGTGGTTTGTACGTAAGTAATCATGTAAAAAAATCATTATCTGTTAAAAATGATTTATTTCTTAATTATATTTAATAATTTAATTTATGCACTGATACTCCGGTTGATTCAGTGAAGTATATGAAGTAATTTCATTATTATCATTTAACGATGAATAGTTTAAAGAACTTCTTTCAAGAGAAAAATATTCTTTATTAATATTTTTTTTCGGCAAATCAGTTTGAAAAAGAGTGCTGTATTCGCCTTCATCAACATTTTGATTTTTTTCTTTTTCATCGATATCCGCCTTTTTTTCAGTTTTCAATATACTTTGCTCACATAAAGGAATTGAAGCAAGATAATTTTGATTTTGAAATGCAGAGTATCCTTCTGCTGAATCTAAAATATTTTGAATTAGGAACAAGAATAGTTTTATTAAAAAATTTTTTGAGATCTTATTTAAGCAAAAAACAAAATTAGTACCTCTAAAAAGTTAATAATTTAAACAAATAGTTATCAAAATAATATAAAACAGTAACTAGAATACCGTAAGGACTTTCCTCTTGAATATCAGGCTCAGAGGATTTTTGTAAAGAAGGTTTGACTCTTCTACGCTTTACAATAATTACAATACACAACGTTGCAAACAACATTATTAAGAATACAGAAACTGCAGTAAGTGTCAACCCAATCACTTTTGATGTACTTGTGGCTTTATGATGCAAACTTGGTGTTGTACTAGCTGTCTCTGCTAGTATGCTAGTTGTAAAATTTGCTGATTTTGTCTGTGTGTCATACGTTTCATTTTGTGGCATATTGTTAAACTGTTTGTCTATTTTTGCATTTGTTGTCTTTATTTTCGTGTTTGTTGTTAAACTTGCTGCTATAGTTTGTGTTTCTGGAATTGGATTTAATGTCCTGGGCTGCGTACTCAGTTTTAATTTTGTCGGGCTTTCTGCAAAAGCTGTTTTTGTATGCTAAAAGAAAAATGATTATTGTCAAATTTTTAAATTTAAAATATTAATATTTATAGTTCTATATAATCTCAAACATAAGAATTATTTTCATAACCTTTTCAAAGAGCCAATCACTTCTTAGTGAAATGTAATTTTTTTCTACAACAAAAACACGAACACACTAACTAAATAAAGTTTGTAAAACTATTTGGTGTAAAAGTTTATAAAAATTATAATACAAACATGTTGCAGAGTACTATAAAATTTAAAATACATGACAGGAATTGAGAAGACGCAATTTAGTTTGCCGTTTTAACAAGAAAAATACTTATTAGACTTAATACTGCATGGTTTTGCAGACTTTATAATTTTATTATTTTCGTTTTGTAGGTGCTGATACATAAAATATTTGCGTATAAAAGCTGACTAAGTGATTTATTACCGAGAAAAGGAAATAAAGGGTTAAATAATATGCCCTAACATTATTTTTATTACCAATATTTTAGTGACTTATTGTCACAAAAAACTAATATTGATGTATTACATGAAACCAAACATGAAAAGAATGTTTGAGGGCACAAAAATAAGTTTTTTCACATTGCATATTTTACATTTAATTTTATGTATGATATAATAATATAAAATTTATCTAATGTAGAAAAGTTAGTGAATATTTTATAGAATTACAACAGCAAAATACAATAAAATTTTAACAAACAATACAATAATGTGTTTTACTGTTATTTAACTTTTGGCATTTGAAACAAATTTTAATCAGCTGCATAATAAGCTGTTGTCAATGAAGGATCAACTTCTTGAACTTTAGTTTTTTTGCTTGAAAACAATTTTATGAAAATAGTAATAACAAAGTCGGACTTTGTTTAAAGGTTGTAGTTCATATATGTCTGAGCTTGTTTAAAGGTTGCAGTTTATTTATGTTAGGCCTCGTTTCAAAGTTGCAGTTTATATGTGTCTGATCTCGTTTTAAAGTTGCAGCTCTTGTGTCTGAGTTTGTTTAAAGTCTTATCTAGTTTATACTGTTTCCATCAACAGTTTATACATGTTTATTTGGAGATGGAATCAGAGGGTAATTCATTAAAGCTGATCTTTACATTTTGTATTGATGATTGATCATTTTTTTTTACGCAACACTTTCTAAATAGTTTATCAGCTATGATTTCCATAGTTGGGTATAATGTATGTTGTATAAACTTTCTTTGTTTGTTAAATATTACTCAGGTAGTTTATCACATTCACGATCACGAATTCTTATATAACACAATCACGATCACACGATATATTACAATCACTATGTATTACGGTCACGATCACACGATATATTACAATCACTATGTATTACGGTCACGATCACACGATATATTACAATCACTATGTATTACGGTCACGATCATACGATATATTACAATCACTATATATTACGATCACGATCACAATATATAACATTTATTTTACAAATAGTCAAGTAAATCTTTTTAATAAAAAGATGGGGGGGGGCGCATTGACCCCGTAGCAGTATTTTGTAAACTGCGAACAACCCAATATAAACTTATTAACTACTAAGCGATATTAGAACAATCTTTAAGTAAAAATAAATATTTTAATAAAAGAAATTGATAAACATAACATATTTCAACATTAAAAAAATCCTGGCAAAAAATCAATGTACCTCATGCAATGGGGTACTATGATCTCGGACTCTGATCTTATAGGGCGCTTTGATCTTATACGAGTAACATTATTTACATGTTTAATACTGCTCTATCTAAGAGCTATAAACGCTTTAGTTGAAGGGTACTAGTGTATATTATAAAAACATGTAAAAAAAAAGTAAAATTATAAAAAACTATATCATTACAATTTAGTAGACACCACTGTATAAAGTTTTAAAATAAATTTCCATGAGAAAAAATTACCACAATTGTATGAATGAAAATAAGCCCGTAATATACTACTAACATATATATGTGTAAAGATTTTCAAAATTTGAAGCTTATAAAGTTTATAAGAACTTAACTTCTACCCTTTTTTATTTTTTATGATGAATGGTTTTTTTGTTTAGGATTTTCTTTTCTTATGACAAACGAATTTCATCTTTGATTTGAGTATCAGTCAAGATCCTTGTTTTTAGTTTCCTACTTTTAACACTTCTTTTTATAGCAGATGCTTTCGGGTAAAGTACCAAAACTTCAGTTGAGAGTAATAAAGAAATGCTTAGTGACACTTCGTTCAAAAAACTTGTTTCATGATGAACTACAGGCATTTAAGGCTCCATCCTTCAACATGTATAACATTCATTTCAGGTTCCAAGAATTGTATTTACTCCATTTGGAGCAGCACAATCTGTAACTGATGATGATAAATATTCATCATCTTCAAATATTTTTGGATTAAATGGTTCAATGCCAATTACTTGAAATCTTCGCTGTATATTAGATAGTGAGAAAGCTTTCGTATATGGTTCGCAAACAATTGAAACAATATCGTAAATTCTAAAAGGTCTTGGATTTGTGACCATCCAATTGTCACATGCAGCATTGTAGAACCTTTTTAATGTTCTAAAAACATTTCTATCCAATGGTACCAATTTATTGGTGTAATGGGGAGAAAATCTTAGCATTGCAGTTCCATGTTGAATTGCAAGATCCAAAGCTCTAACAGAAATATGAATTTTAAGAAAAAAAAGCTGCTTTCATTGTATCACATGGTGATACAATGAAAGCAACTCTGTCTGGTTTTTTTTCTATACGTAACCATTTTAAGATCTCAAAAATAAAAAATTAAAAATTAAAATAAAATAATTGTTTTAAAAAAAGTACTTTACAAAATGATATTATGTAAACTAATTGTAAAGCTTATATAAAACTTAAAACTCATATTATTAATGTTAGTTTTTAAAACTATTACATTTTAAAAATGATACGTTAAAAAGATTATAATTGTTATTTAACATTTTTTATTTGTCATAAGTACAAATATACAAAATTTAAAGAAAAAATTTAAGTCTCATAATATAAGTTATATGAGGCACACAGAAGTTGATCTTATCAAAGGTATTACGATTAAACAATAAAGGGTAGTATAATGGTTAATTAAATTTCAATCTCTGTCAAAATATGGCAATTACAAACAATTAAAAGCTAAAAGATCATACTGCTATGGCAATTAATACGCCCCCATCTTTCCTATTAAAAGCGATTTCCTGCTTAGACTCTTGTACAGTGTGCGGTACAGACAACATACCTGTTATAGTCTTGCAAAAGTGTTCTCCGGAGCTCTCGTCTATACTATCAAAACTATTTAACAAGTGCTTATCAGAGTTTTGTTTTCCAGTCTGCCGGAAAGCGGCATTTGTATCCCTGTTTTCGAAAATTCTGGAGAGCGAACTGACTTGTATTACTACCGTGCCATTAGTCTTCTTACTACCATAAATAAGATTTTTCAGCCTTTAATTTACCAACACTTAATCTATTATCTTGAATCTAATAGCTAAATTTCTGATCATCAATATAGATTTAGATTTTCTTGTTCTACTGCTGATTTGTTAACAGTGATTACTGATGGGTTTTATCGTGCATTAAATAGATGTGGAGAGGCTAAGGCTATTGCTCTCGATATTTCTAAAGACTTTGAAAAAGTTTGGCATGCTGGTCTTCTCCATAAACTCTTTTCTTACGGCGTATTAGGTAACGTCTTGAAGATTATTAAATCATTCCTTATCAATTGTAGTATGAAAGTTGTCCTCAATGGATAGCAATCTTGTTCATTTCCCGTTACTTGAGGGGCTCCTCAAGGTTCTATCCTTAGCCCTACATTTTTTTTAATTTACCTTAACAATCTTTTAGAAATTCTCACATCAAAGATGGTAAAAATGCAGTGTAATTGCGTTTTAGACCTGATTTTGCAGCCAACCTTTAACTATTGTCACATCGTCGTATTTTGCTTCTCTTTCTCTTTTCTATAAATACTATAATGGGCACTGTTCTAAACAGCTAGCGTCTCTTATATCATCGACTAAAATTTATTCACGTGTTAGTTGTCATTCAATTAAGTCTCATCTTTTTACTGCGACTGTTCCTAAGAGCTCCAGTTTTTTTCCTCGAACATCAGTTCTTTAGAACTTACTCTCTTCGTCTTATTTTCCTGATTCATATAATTTGCAATCTTTTAAGTCGTTATTTTGCTTTATAAACTTGATCTTTTCTCTTTTAGTAACTTCCAACTCTATAAGTGGTTGTTTGCAGCCTTGTTAGAAATTTTGACGTTGTAGGTCATAAATTTTGATAAATTGTGATTGGGATTATGGTTTTAAATCAAATTTTTGGGGTGTGAAAAAATGCAATGTATGGTCATTTATTCATTTAAAAAAAATGATTATCAAATACAAAAAAATTGAGGTGATAGGCAAACGTAATAAAAATATATATGTCTGCTTAGTACCTTCAATCCAAGGATTGGAAAAACGTTAAAATTAAGCAATAAAATTTTTTTGTTAAAGGTTTAACATAGGAACCCTGAAATGTAGTTGTAACTTATTAGTTTTATCATTGTTGCTGATCACATTAGTCATTATTCCTTTACCAAGTATTCTCCATTTATGCTAATGTATGATAACAAATCATTTTTGTTAAATAATGTGAAACATAACCTTGACAAAGATAAAAGCAAAAGCAATGACAAGAAAATGGATTTTTAAAACGCAGACTACATAGTATATACACTATATTCAACTTAGTTAAACACTATATTCAAGGATCAATCGACAAAAACAACATAAAGTGTTTAAGCATATTATCTCTCTCTCTCTCTCTTTCTCCCTGCATCGCTTTATCCTTTAACTATAAATATGTTAACGTATTTTCAGCATTTGTAAGAAGGAGTGATTTTTTTCCTCATGCAGGTTTGTTTTTTAATTATTATATTAAAAAAAATAAAAAATTTTAATATAAAAAAAGTTGTGGCCTCCCACAACTTTTTTTATATAAAAATTTTTATAAATTGAATTTTTTTTTTTTTTTTTTTAATATAATAATTAAAAAAGAACCTGCATAACATCACACATCCCTCATCCATCGAGGGATATTTATCAAACTCTTTAAAATCTAAAACATAATAAATCTTCAAAGTTTATTTTACATATAGGTTTACACATAATAAATAAACTACACCTATTTAGAGAGTGCTAACCTTCCGTGTTTTATTTTTCATTGAGAGTCCAGACTTCTGTGTTTTTTTTTTTTTTATTTAGAGAGTGCAATATTTCTTTTTTTTTAATATCAACACTATTTGTTTTACTTACAAAAATTGTTGTTTTTTCCGTCTGATTAAAGCTTGCGATTGTATATGCGGTTGGTTTCTCCACTGCGCCACATATTGGTTTTGCCAGATCAGCTTTATAAATAATTTTATATACAAATTAAAATAAATAAAACATAGTTAAAAGAAAAACAAGAAACGAGGAGGATTTGACATTAAATCGGAGCTAGTTAATTTTCGAAAATGTCTTATGGAAAAAAGTTCCATTAAAAGAAATAAAAAAAATATAGTTTTTAAAAGCATCAATAATTTTACATTGATCATCGGTTGTAAATTCGCACTACACAGTACGAATTTAAAACCAATGATTGTATCATTTTGTATTGCAGCTCGGGTCTTAACGAGAATTTGTATTATATTTTTATAAACAATTAGCAATTTGAAATAATAAACTTATACAATAACTGAAATGAAGGGGAGATTGGAGAAAAGTAGGACATTAAAAAATATTGCTAAAATAACTTTATCTTTTTTAATATAATATATCTACTGCACCGAATAAGTTTTAACAAATAAAGTATCATTTTGGGCACTGAATCTATCCCCTAAGATTGACAGCAGGTTATAATAAAGTATATATCTTAATAAAGTATATAATAAGTATCTTTGATTTTAAAGGAATTATGCTATTAGGGTAAAGTGAAATACTAATGGGGTAAAGTGGGATAAGCGAGTAATTAACAATATATAAACAAAAATTATTAATTAAAAAACTATTAAAGCCGTAAATCACGTAATATTCAAAAGTTCAAGTGGGTTTCCTTAATATAATTTCTCAAAAGTGATATGGGAGAAATAGGACATCATTTAGTTTTATTTTTCCTATTTCACCCCTCAAAGAAGTGTTTTTCAAAAATGTGGTTTTACCACAAACAGGAAGACAAGGTGACATTTGCTAAATAAAGGGGGAAAAAATCTTATCCTTTACATTAAATAACATTGATTAAAGGCCTCTTCTAAATGGATTCTTTGAGATATCCTACTTTTCCTGCATCCCACTTCTCCCCACTCTTCCCTATAAAGCTGACTCATTTAGTTTAGTAATAATTCTCAAGGATTTTATAGTATTGTATGACTTCATATTTATAAATTAATGTTTCAAATAGTATCGCAATTTAATTTAATTAATTGAGTGGGATCACTTCCGTAATTTAATTTCTTATCTGGAATTGCTATTTTAATTTAATTAATTATGTGGTATCGCTTCCGTATTTTAATCGCCTGGTCTTTTATTCTGTATTCCACATTCAACATTTTAAGTAAACTATCAATAATCAATAAAATCTAAAAAGTAAAGTAAGCTAACAATAAATTATCATAATTAGTGTTTTTTATATCCTCATTAACTAAATATTATTAACTAAATCTCCAAAAAGCAATCTTTCTTGTGTTTTGTTAAAAATAAATTCAAAAGGTCATATTTTCTTTTCTTATGCGACTAATCAATACCGTACGATTTTATTTAATATCAGTATCGTATGGTATCGAACCAATACTAATGGTATCGACATTAGTATATACTAATGTATTATGTTATATATATATATATATATATATATATATATATATATATATATATATATATATATATATATATATATATATATATATATATATATATATATATATATATATATATATATATATATATATAAAAGTAATAATAATAAAAAAAACAAGTTACCAAAACTTTATACAGTATATGATACAGTATATGATCACTGTATAAAGTTTTGGTAACTTGTAATTACTTAAAAAATATCGCATTACTGACCTTGCTGTATTTTGAAAAGAACTTTTTGTTTTCTTCTAGAATCATAAAAAACTACAACAACGTCGTGAGCGGTTGTTAATTTTAAACAGTTATTGAACTTAAGATTATAAAAGTTTTTATCATTATTTATAGTTATTCTCACTAAACTTTAGCTTTAATGAATTAAAAAAAAAATCTGTTTGTATATCCAAAAAAATCATGCGTTACAGCTGTAATTTTTGTGAAGTTAATAAGTTAGCACAAGACGTGTTTAACATATCTATAAAATCTATTTTTAATACGTTTTAAACACGTCTTTTTATTTACTGGGTATGATCTGTTCCAAATAAGGAATCAGTGAGCTCTAATCATGGAGAGCTATTGCCTTTATTAAAACAATGACCCTGCATCGAGACATTATGTTTTATGGTTACGCTGGGCGTTTTATTATGCGTCAAACCACCTAAAATGAAAGTGAAAGTTTGATTTCTCTGACTATTCTTTTATGTACTTTTGCTTTACACTGTTTCATTCAATCGCCATGCTTCGCACTGTTTCACTCAATCACCATGCTTCGCACTGTTTAACTCAATCACCTTTCTTAATGTTCTAGATTGTTTTCCTTCTTTTTAAGACTGCACTCAGTTCGAAATTTGTTCAAATTGATAAGGTCCTTTTTCATAATAAATTCATAATTGAGCAAATAAATTCATAAATGAGTGAGAAAATCTGTATTTCGGAATAGATGTGCACATATTCCGAAATACAGATTTTGTTTTGCAGATTCCGAAATACAAATCTATTCCGAAATACAAACTTTCCATCAGTTGTTAAAACAAGTTTTTTTCTTATTATTTATTAACATGAAATATCCGGCATAACCAGCCGGATTAATTTATTATCCAGCCGGATACCGGAATCCGAAAAATATACATACTGAGTATGTATATTTTTTGATATCTGGTCTCTGAGTATGATACTCAGCCCAACTATCCGGCCGTAAATTCTACCAGGAACACTTCTAGAATTGAATGTAGTTGTTTGCATTTATTTTGCATGTTTATTTTGCTTGTTATAGTTTTGCTCAGTATACAAACTTCTTCACCAGTACACAAACTTCTTCACCAAGATTCTTCAATAATTTCTCATATTGTTTTATTTTCACTAGGCTCGGGAAATACTTTTAAAATGAAAATTAAATTTTTATTTAATTAAACTTGTGAAATTTAGCACGTAAAATATTTTTTTCTAATTTGGAGATTAGATGTTTTGCCATGAACTTAAATGATACTATTGTACTTTTAAAATCCAATGTCATTTTATAATATATTTAATATTTAGAATATCAGAGCAATCATTCGAAAAGATTTGATGTAAAGGCATAAAGAGGTATTGTAGCTAGTAAAAATAGTTATGAAGAGTTATTGTAGCTATAAAGATAGCCATGAAGACAGATGCGAATTCAGATCATCTAACAAAGATAATCATGAAGAAATATCGTAGTTAGTAAAGATACAACCTGTTTATTTTATAGATACTTATATCTAAATTACTTCTGAAGCTACGTAAAGTACCTATAGATAATTAAAGTATCTTCAAAAACATACTTGATGTTTTTTTCCCATGAAAACAAGAAAAGATGCAGTAACAAAGTTTGATTTGTTACTACATCTTTTGAAAAAGGTGTAGTAACAAATAAAAAGGTTGTACAATGTTTATGTATGATAATTCAAAAGTGTATTACTCTTTTTTGTAATATTTTTTCCCCACTGAAATAAGTTAATTTAGTTTTAAAATGTTGTAAGTAATGCAAAAATCTTTAGACATGATTTAGTGTGATTAGTAAAAAAGCCTGATAAATGCTAATTCATAGCCCAAGTTTTTGATATGGTAAAAGCTAATTGATAAATAACACTCGGTGGGAAATTGGCTAGCGACTAGCTACCAATATTCGCAATAATAAAGAGAGCGATTCGACCACAAGGATTGCTAGCTAAGTAAGCTAGCAAAAAATTACATAATTGTATTACTTGTTCATATAATGCTGCATTATATTAATATTTTCATTTTTATAATAATAATATGTTTTAAAATAATGCGGTGTAAATTCCTATAGTATAGACTATCAATAAATGTTTTAGCAAGCTACAAAGTTACGATATGTAACTATCAACATATTCTTTTAAAATCACTAACCCAGTGGACACCAGACCTAAAAAAGACGTCTTTTGAACCTTCAAAAGACGTTTAAAAGATGTCCAAAACATGTATAAGACGTTTAAAAGACGTCTTTTTTACGTCCGTGTCCACTGGGAGCTAAAAACCCAATATGTACATGCATATGTATATACATATCGCTAGCGATATATATACATATATATATATATATATATATATATATATATATATATATATATATATATATATATATATATATATATATATATATATATATATATATATATATATATATTTATATATATATATATATATATATATATATATATATATATATATATATATATATATATATATATATATATATATATATATATATATATAAACAAACAACTTTATTATCTTATTTATTTACTTTTTCTTATTTTTTAATATCTTTATAATTTTTTTTCTTAATGGCTTACTTTTTTATTAACTTACTTTAACACCTTACTTTTACATAACGCTAATAATCTATTAGCGTTATGTAAAAGTAAGGTAACTAACTCTATTAAGTTCTTTTTCTAAAAATGATATTTATTTTTTGCATATAACATTTTTTTCTGAAAAAAAGAGAAGCTAATATAAAAATTATTCTTGGCTTTATTGCTTCCGACTTCAAATGCTTAATAAAATTGTACTACATTTAAAAAATGATGTTATTAAATGTAGTATATTTGCACACATAGAAAAAAATAATTTAAGACTGTAATTTAATATGAGATTGATAAAAGATATACATATATAGGAGTAGAAAATATTTTTTACAAAAGTTTTATCTAATATTTCTACTTACAATTTTTCCAATAACGATCCCCTTCAATTTTTATCATGACGCAGCTTTCATAACTTTGATTATTATTTGCTTTGTAATTGAGATTAATTTTTAAAAGCTCTCCTTTACTACTATATCTATTATTTGTTAACTAAATAAGAAAAAGAAGACTTAAATGTGTATTAAAACCAAAAAAGCATTGAAAAAAAAAAAACAAATGCATACCATTAGCGCACCACTACGAACTAAGCTAAAACCGTGATAACTTAAATATTCCCATTCCATGTTTTGGTTTAAAATTTGAACAGAGGTAATCTTTTCACTGTTTACGATGTCGTTAGATGTTAGAACAGCATTTAAATTTTGTTTATATGATATAGTGTAAATGGAAGTCTTCAATGGATAAATATAAAACTTGCAATCTACAATAAAACTAAAATTAAACTTCCATTTAAAATTTAATAAAACATAAAACTAAAATAAAAATTATAGTGTTACCACCATTAGTTGAACATATATTATTTGGTGTTAAAATCGTCCCTGAATTTGAACACAAACATAAATTCTTGCTAATTTGCTTTGCGCTCAAATCTGAACAACGAACGCTTGTATCGCATTTAAGAGTATCTCCAGTAGAATTTCGATTAATTATTAAGATTTGACTTTTCACATAAGCTAATAAAAAGTTGAGTATTTTCCAGTTTGCCATATTTGTTTAGTTTTAAAGTTTTAACTTTACAGTTTTTGTTTAAACCATGACTGACTTTTGTTCTGATTGGTCGTTTTCAAAATCCGTAAGTACAAATTTCTTTTAATTTGGATTAACCTTAATATTTAAACTTTTATGCATAGATAGTTCTTGTATATCTTAATTAATTTAAAAAATTTATTTATTAATAGTTAAACTTTGCTTTAAAACGATTACTTTGAGAATAGCAACTTTATTTAAATTTCTCTTGCGACTTTTGTTTTGAAAAAAATATTTTAATAATAACTAGTCACATGTGACATATCTAAAGTCTTTATATATATTTATATAAAAACGATTAGCGAGTGAGCTATCCGACTTGTTCTTTAGTTAATTTTACAGGGATTAATTTCGATTATTTAAAAAGTTTTCGTGTAATAGTAAAGTACACAGTAAACAAAAATTTTTACAAAAAAAAGTACGTAATTTGTAAAAAACATTCAGGCAAAATTATAAAATTAGAATTGTAACATTTCCTATTAAATTATATTACCAACCATTGTAAACTAAATTATTTATTATAAATTGTAAAAAACTTTGTTCTCTAAAAAAAAACATTAACAAATTTTATCATGGCAACTAACTATGGTAACAATAATAAAAACTTTATGATATTATAACTTTATGTATTTTTGCATATTTTGTATTAAAAACATTTAACTTATTCAACTTTTTTGGGGGTTCAAAGTTTCTATCTAGAGTTTAGTATCTTTTTTCTCGGATGTTTTAAAGTAAAATATTTTTAATGAAACAATCATAGATTCTATTATAAGTTTTTAAAACTTCGTTTAAATATTTTTGAAACTACAAAAAAAAAATGATATAGGTCTGTTTCAGATGTCTGAATGGTCATAACTTTTGTATAACTTTTCGTTCTTTGCTTGAATATTACTTTTTAAGTGAACATTTAAAAACTTTCCCTTAACCAACCAAAACTGTTATATATTTTACTTTTATATTTTTCAATGAACAAGTTGTAAACGTATACGTATATATTACGGCTTTTGTAAATACGTGATCTTTAATTTATTTATTTATTATTATTTTTTTTTTTCAATTTTTCTTGTTTACTTGATTATTACTCTTAACATGAATTCTTGAAGTATTCCTTAAACTAAATGTTATTTATTTTACATTTATTATCTTCAAAAAATAATTTATAAAGTATATATAAATAATACGGTTATTGTATATACATACGACTGTGGCTCGATAAGACAAAATAATGTCTTCTTCTTGCCCCGAAAGTGTTTTTATTTATATATTTTTAAATTATAAATGTTATTAAACGGCGAAATAAATAAACAAACAAAAAACATGCGACTTGAATTTGTTTGTTTTTGTTGCTGATTTGCTTCGTTTTTGATACTTTTTTGTTTTCTGACTTTCTTAATTATTTTTTTACTTTCTTTAATTCTTTGTTTATAAGCTTTGCGTTATTTTGATCCACCCGTAAATATTCTCTCACTGAAGTATGTTAAAATGCTGGAGGCAAGTTTCTTGCCACCTCGGTTGGTTATTGTTTTCCTAATTCCAGCTTTAGGTAATGGTCGTATAATAGCAGAAGTCATGGTTGATAAAATCGTTTTTGGCTTAACATTGTTGCTGTCTATCTAAAATATTGATTTGGATCTTGACGATCTATAACCTTAAGATTATTATCAAAAGGTACATGATCACACAGCAACAACTAATCTATGCATCTTAGACAAAAACCTAAGCTTTTCACATGTTTATATTTTTTTAAGGTGGTAGACTGCTAAAAAAATTATTTTTGTATTTTACAATATTTCAATAAATTTTTTTACTTCGAACATGATAAATACATTAGAAAATTCATAATTTTTAATTTTTTTTTTTTTTCATATATATTTTGGGCTAAAACAGGTGATTTTAGGCCAAAAACAGGCTAAAATCTTGGCAAAGATATCTCAAAAAGTATAATTTATTAAGTTCTAATTTTTTGTATTTTTATTTGTTTTATGTAGATAAATGTCCTGAGATAAAAATTTTTGTTGAAAATTTCTTTATTTTAAAGTATCGTTAGATTTTTCAAAGCGCCCAATTAATCATCTAATTTCTGATATTAAGAACAAAAAGTTTGTTGTTTTAAAAGTTTATATTCTAAATTTTTTTTATCTCAGGACATAAAGCTTATTATAATGAATCTCTGTACAAAATTTTAAGTCAATTGGACAATTACAGCTCCTGCAATTTTTGCCAGAAAATTAGAAGAATAAAACAAAGAAAAAAGCATATAAAATTAAAAATATTGAATATACAAACTGATTAAAATCCCCCTTTTTGATTTACTGCTCTTCTTAATTTTTGTATTTTTTATCAAACCCTTTCCTAGTTGCTTTAAAATTTTTTCTTTGTTTTTTAATTTTTTTTTTATTACTAACCTTAACTAGCGGTTCCTATGAGCGTTGCTAGGGGAAACAAAATTACCCTTCTAATATAAATCACTTTTATTAGTTCTAAATTTTTTTTCTCATACGAAGATCTATATATTTTTAGACTCTACATCAGTTACTGTTTAAAACAATGCCACTTTTGAAAAATCGTTTTTTTCTAACTTTTTTAGCAGTCTACCACCTTAATTGAAAATATAAAAAAGGTGTTTAAATTAGTTCATACCATATCCTAATTATGTTTAAAAACACAGAAAATATAAAATGCAAGATATTATACCTAGTCAAGGTAAAAATCTTAATTTTTCCTTATGTCGGGTTGAAATTGACATAAGCAAACTCACTCAAAATGTTGGTTGCCATTGATGCTTTTAACCTAGCTTTTTCCAAATGTTCCTCTTGTTCAAAAATGGAAACTGTTTTTCTAAAGTTATTCACAAGCCAAAAATATACTTTTTTATTATATAAACGTTTAAATGGTTCATAAACATCTAGAGGTTGAAGTTTGTGTGATGTATGAGGTGGTAAAGTTAGCAAGTAAACTACATTTTCTTCTGCAATATCAGGTGATGGATGAGCCTAGCCACGGTTTTATATATATATATATATATATATATATATATATATATATATATATATATATATATATATATATATATATATATATATATATATATATATATAGTATATATATATATATATATATATATATATATATATATATATATATATATATATATATATATATATATATATATATATATATATATATATAAATTATATTAGTGTGTATATATATATATATATATATATATATATATATATATATATATATATATATATATATATATATATATATATATATATATATATATATATATGTATATATATATATATATATATATATATATATAAATTATATTAGTGTGTATATATATATATATATATATATATATATATATATATATATATATATATATATATATATATATAAATTATATTAGTGTGTATATATATATATATATATATATATATATATATATATATATATATATATATATATATATATATAACTTTTAAGTTAAATTATAGTTTTGTTACCAAAGTTTGAATGCAAAAGCTTATATCAATAAATTTTTTAAAAGTATTGTAAGTATAAGTTAAGCATTGTTGGTACTTACATTATAATTATAATTTCTGTAAATATAAATATAAGTTATTATTATGATATCATTATTAATATTACAAGTTTACATATTTATATAATATTGTCTGCATCTTCATCTAAGAAAATATCGTTCTTTCTGATAATACAAAATTATCATGAAGATATTTTGACATGTTATGCAGAAATAACAACTACATTTAAAACTATTAGACACCATCAGACATTCAATTCATTAGACTGCACAACTAAACTCAACTCCATCAAATCTCCAGATTCCAATCTGAATGCATGCAATTGCAAGCAAACAATTTACTGCAGAAAGAAAAATCAACTGCTTTAGTTAAAAATTTAATAGTTTTTCAGTCCGTAGAGATAATTAAACAGGAATTACAAAAAGTTATTTTTTAATGGAATTTTTACAAGTTCAAGTAATCAAAAATACATGAAGATGTTTCCAATACTCATCCAGCATTTCATGGAGTGTGATGGCTTAAAAGTTAAACTCCTTGAGTTACAAACATTGTCTAATAAAACCACTAATACAATAACAGTGTTTTGTAAAAATTTAAAAATCATAGTATTCCAATAACATACTAATAAATAATAATAAACTTTGAACAATTATAATATTCTAGCAAAGACCATGTGGCATTTGGGGCTGATAATACTAGTACTAGTTTTGGCGGGAGAGAAAGGCACGAAATAAATAGTGTGTTTTACAAATTAAAAAAAAACATTGTCTGCAAATATAGAAGTATAGCGAATAAAGAGTCGGTAGACTTTTTAAAAGTCTATTATCAGAAGTATATACTATAAACTGTTTTTATTTGAAAAACAAATTAGGAAACGAAAAAAATGAAAACTGTTATTGAAGTAAAAAATATTTTTTATTCTTATTAAAATATTGTAACACTTTTTAAAGTAGTCAATGAATAACTAAATAAAGTAAATGAACAATTTATATGCAACAAACTGTCTTTGAGTGTTCAAAAAACAAAATTTTCTCTTTTCCACAAACCAAGTAAAACAAAAATTACCTCTTACCAACCCCTAATCTACCCAATCTCCAAATTAAAAAAACTAACATTAATAGGCAAACATCTGTTAATATTTTAGGAGTGAATTTTGATGAAAATCTATCATGGAAACAACATATAAACTCTATTGGAAAAAAAACAAAAAAAAAATTGGCATTATCTAAAGAGCAAAGACATTTTTAAATTTTAGGTCCTTAAAAAATTTTTCTTTTTCTCTTAGAAGTGCTAATCACATTAAGTTAAGAAAACTGCACGGGAAGCAAAAACATGCTGATAGAACTGTATTTGGAGCTGATAGAGTTGTTCCTTGTGAATCTCTTTTACTTAGACTTGGTGCACCAAATTATTGGACCCGTTATAAGAAAATTGGAAAAACGTTTAAAAGGTCCGCAAACAAAAAGTAAAATTATTAAAGTATGTAAAAATTGAGTTTGGATAGGTCCATTCATTTAATCTTAGGCTGCAAATCCCAATGGAGCAGTTTGTTTCTTATGCTAGACTAATTTGTGAAGTTAAAATTAAAAATAATGTAATAATATAATAAAAGATTAATGTAATAAAAGAGCACTTCTAAATTTAGAAATGGATTTCAACTTCGATGATTCAATTAAGATAAACAAAAAGGAATGTGAAATAATATCTGATTTAGTAGTACTTTTGAAAACCATTAAAGCAACTTAGATAGCACTTTGTCGACGAAACTTTAGGTTCGTGTTGAAAAAAATAAAAGAACAACAATCTGAAATCGGAAAACAAGTGTATGATACTTTGAGTCACCGAATTAAAAGACACCGTTAAGGAGATTGGTAAATCTTCATGGCCAATTTATTTCATAAAAAACCGAGAAGTTTTACCAAATGTTAAAACAATTAATTAACAATTAAATGAGGTTATGGAAAAAGTATTGGCAGCAATTCGAACACTACCTATAATGGTAGAAAGTATAATTTTTTAAATTCAAAAATGCTGTTATTTGAAAGTGGTAGCTCAAGGTGTGATCACCTTTAAAAAATATATAATTATATACTATCTATATGACCGACAAGTGAGGAGTCCGAACGAGCATTCTCAGCCGCTGGGTTTTTATGTTCAAAAAATCTAATACAATTAGGCGATGAAACGATTAATGCTTTGATTTTTTAGGGTGGTAATTTCAAAAATAAGTATAACTCATGTATATTAATGTTTTTAGTTATTATTTTTATTTTACACTGTGTTATCATTTTAAGGTAATTTAAATTACTTAGGCTTATTAATGAATGCAACATTTTAGTTATATAAAAATTAAATTAATAACTTTTAAGTGTTTGATGAGTACTTAAAAAGTTAGTTCTACTTACCCTTCACTTTCTACAATTGGGCTTATTTCTATTGAATCCCAGGATTTCCCGGGGACAAGTTTCTCAATCCCAAAATTAAATGTTTTTTGTGTTCAAAAGTTTTTAAATGCTTTCACAACAATCAGGATTTTATAATATATTATTAAAAATGCTCAAATAAAGAATAAAAAACTTTTTTTATAGCTAATCCATCATTAAATGTAAAAAAACAACAACAACAACAACAATAAAAAACAATAAAGAACAAAACAACATTTTCTCAGTAAGTTTTAATTTATTGTCATAAAGAAAACAACATTTTCATTACGACATTTAAACTTAAAACTCTGATAGATTATATTGAAAACGTTACTAGAAAAACTAAAATTAATACTTATTTTTAAAATGGCAGCTTTTTTAGTTTAATAGGTATTATCGATGCAAAAACCAAAGGCAAAATATCAATAGATTCAAATGGAAATAAGTTTAAGATAAAGTGCGTGCTTCCACAAGCAGCATTAGCGCAGTGGTAGCGCACTTTCCTCCAAAAAAAAGATCCCTGGTTCAAATCCCACCTCTGGGCAAGTTTTCAACAACGGTTAGGAAGGAGACGTGAACTTCCATTTAAATATCCGCGGTGCTCTGTGACAAGACCGTAATGACTTCTTGGGGGGCACCTAAATAAAATCAAAACAAAATAAATTATATTAAACAATTGCAGCTCTATCTATAAAAAACAACATATCTGGTTAAAAAGATGATTTTCTGTTTGCAGTCAAACAAAAAAATACAACTGAGAAATTTGTAAACTTTAAAACATTATCGTTATTCAAAGTTTGAAACATGATTCTATTTCATCTTTCTCTTATTTGCAACTTTAATTTTTTGCAAATTATACAGACACAAAAATATAGATAAATATTTAAAATTTAGTTTTTAGATTAATTACAAATTAGGTTGGTATGAACAAAGTAAATTTCATATTCATTATCAACAAACCCTATTATTTAATTTTTTTATTATTATTAAAACCGTCATATATATATATGGTTAAAAACCCAGTTGAATTTTAACAAAACTTACTAATCAAGTAAAAATCAAAGTTTTAACGAAAACCGGTAGGTTTTTACTATATAACCGCCTTATGACAATAAAAAAGTATATTCAGCCTCAGTTCACATGCATTTTTATGTGTAATTAAACAAGATAAGTGAATGGCAGCTTCTTTGCTTTCCAGAACTTTTAAAGGTTGTTTCTACTAAATGCTTTTAAGGTTATATTAATTAATTTCGCTTAGTTAATTAATTTAACCCTAACTACCCTGTGCGTATTAAGAAATCAAAAAAAAAAAAAAAAAGAAAAGAAATAAATAAAAAAATATCGCGGAAAATATCACAGCTGAAAAAACCGGGATGGTTTCGAAGATCACGGAAATTTTTCCGCTCCCAACATGTAAAATTTAGTAAACATGTCTATGCAACTTAAAAATTATCTGTAGCGAAACGTGTTCTGTAACAAATTTTGTTATAAAATTAGTTATGGCAACTCCAACTCGTCGTTTGTGGACAACCATTTTTAAAGATAAAAGAGTTTTCCCAGCAGTTCTAAAAAAGGCTTCTTATAATATTAATGCACATTCGTGCTGTCTTCTATTACCTAACAGACCAAGTACGTTTGCCTTATTAAATAATCATTTTATTTAAAAATATTTTGAAAACTTGATATAACGAATTATGGAATTATCCAAAGCATTGAAAACCTATATTTTGATATTTTTGATTATTTTTTACTTTTTATTTTTATTATAAAAATCATTTTTTTTTTTTTTTTTTTGTCAAAATTATTGTGTAGAGCAGATTATCAAATTATTTTCAAAAGTGATAAAATCTCAAAAAATCTGTTCAAAAAGGTAGTTTGAAAATGTATACAAACTTTAAAAAATTATAACATTTTAAAGTTAAATGTCCTTAAAAGCTTTTTTTTTTCCAAACGTTATTATGTATTTCAATTCAGATTAAAGGGAAAAACAGAATTACTTTATTTACTTATAATACCTTAGTTTTTTTATAATACTTTACGATTTTAAAAAGGTTAATGCTACACTAGCTGCTAGGACAAAAAAAAAGTGAGAAATTACAACAAAACTACAAAACAAATTAGATATTAGTTTGAGTTCATGTCTCCTACAGAAAAAGGGCCTCAAGCTGCAGAGCAATACTTCAAATGAGAAAATGAAATATTTGCAAACTATTGCTTTAGCTACCTGATTGTGCCACAACCAGGAAGCTGAAATCATGAAATTGTGTATCATAATACTAATCATGCTCTGAAGTTCTTTAAAAGTATGTATGATGCGTGTCTGTCGTGGTAAAGTGAAAATGAGAATCCTTAAATTTGTCAGCAGGATTTGTTTTGTAAAAGTTACTTTGATGCTTGTTGAAAAGCATGTAATTGTCTTTGTCAAAACTCATAAACCATTTGCGTACAACTTGTTAATCTGTTAATCTTGGTTTGTATATACATGACTACTGAGGCACATTACTGAGAATGTTAACCCAAACAGTTATGCTAGAATAAATTAGTATATTTGATTAATTTTTTAAAATTAAAACAAACTATTTTGCATTTTTATCTTCTTCTAAAATTAAAATGTATTGCGATTAAGGAAAGCATTCAAAATAAACATATTTGTATAAACATATAATAAATATATTTTTTTATATTTAAAGTTCCACCTTTAAAAAGTATATATTTTTTTCAATACTTGTTTTGTGAAATCTAACTAAAGTTTAATAGCCTGTTAGTTTGTAATCAACATGATCATCATAGTCATCATTACCATCATGATCATTATTATCATCCAGGGGCTGTTCTAGACCAGTTTTGACAGCGTCGACCGTATTTGGGCGCTGCCCAAATTAAAATTTGAGGACCTTTTTTTTTTTTTTCATATTTTTTTAACATTTTTACCCTAAATATTGTTTTTTTGTGACAATATCGCTGATTTTCCATTAAAGTCGGCCTAAATTAGGGGGTACCGCTGCCCAAATTTTTTTCCTAGAATAGGCCTTGTCATCATAATCATCATCATCTTCACCAGGCTTTAGCTTTCCTCTTTTATGCTGTTTCTCTAATATAAACAATTTAGAGCATTTTCTTTCTTTAACTAAACCTCATTCATACAATATAAGGCACTTGCTTCAAGTTTTCTTACTTCTAGCACTACCATTTTCTCTTGAAACTTCTACCTCTCTACATGCTAATACCTAAATCACATTAATCTAACAAATATTGTCCGATAAGACCCTTTTTTCTAATCTAAGACTATGCCTCCTTTTTTTGTCATGTTAGAGTCACACCACACATCCCTCTGATCATCTTCTATTTTGGCAAATGCTACACCATATAAATACTAAAGTTTAAATAGATATGAAAGGATATTGTTTGCCAGCATCTAAATAAATAGCGAAAATGTATGTTCATGCCCATGGTGTGTATGCATAAAGCACATCTTGGAAGCTTTTATTCCTTCTGGAATTAAAGTTTGGAAGATTCTATTTCTTCTCTTCAATATTAAATCAAGCCTCATCCTACTCTGCATTTTTTACCATCTTTTGCAGTTGCTTTATTAAAGAGTAATCATTTTTTTTTTTTTTTTATCTTTTTTACAACAACAACAAATGTGTTTTTATTATTCCAAGAAACCAAACTAAAAAGGTCCTGACTGATGTTAAGCTCTGTTATTCTAAGTTTACTAAATCTTGTTTACTAAATCACTTTTAGACAAAGTCTAAAAGCACATTGTAAATGTAGTTAGACCTGCATTGTAAATGTAGTTAGACCTGCGATCAGCCAAGTTTGAACCATTCTCCCATTGTTGTAAGGTTGCATTTCTTTCTTTTTTCTACAAATACCATCATGGTCAATGTTCAAATAAGCTTTGCTTCTTACTTGGCTTTTTATTCAACAAGTTGCATCTTTTTACTGTATCTGTCCCTTCATGCTATAAAAACTTTTATTAATTCAGTTTTTTGTCTTTGCACATCAAAAAAAGCCTTTTAACTCTTCCCCATCTTTGTGTTTTCATTTTTAATAAATCCTGCAATTTTTGAAGTCTTCAGTTTACTTTTTTAACTCATAACTTAATAGTGGTTGCTTGCAATCTTGTTTAAAATAAGTTAGAGTTTAAAAATGTATAAATATATGCCAGTATGTAATAAATAGTAAATATAAATATAAAATTATAATACAAAAAGTATATATTTTTTTTTTCTAGCCCCGGCTATAAACCCCTGCTAAATCTTATAATTTTGACGAGGCCGTCAAAATTATAAGATTTAGCAGGGTTTGCAAAAAGTATCGTTTTTAGCCAAGGCCCCGGTTGTACACTACCAATGACATCGGTTGATAAATCGGCATTGGCCACTACATCAGCATTGGCTAATAAGCCAAACCAAACTGGTGCATAGGCACATCTTATATATGCAAATTGCATACCTAATATTAAGGTATTACCTTTATATACATACATTAAACCCTATCATTAGCCTTAATTGGCCTTTGCCGATGGCACATCACTAATATATATATATATATATATATATATATATATATATATATATATATATATATATATATATATATATATATATATATATATATATATATATATATATATATATATATATGTGTATATATATATATATATATATATATATATATATATATATATATATATATATATATATATATATACATATACATATACATATACAAGCTACGGCGGGAAACAAGAGCTTTAGCTCTCGCTTCCCGCCAGTTTAATGGAGCAGTTTACAG